ATGCTTCCAGGCTTGGCAGCGGCGCTGGGATCGTTGTGTTCACTCCCAGGGGAACTACTTCGAGGGTGATGGATGAATTTAATACCTGAGATAAGTGTACGGGTTTTTATACGCGCAGTCTGGAAACTTTCCGATCGCACCTAGTATTAACAACGCAAAAGATACATAAAAAGAGATTCGGAAGGAAGCTGTCATTGCACGATTTCACATAACGTCCTGTAATTCGGTTAAACCGACCAGATCATTGCATCGATCTATAACAGAAATGGAGATGGAACACGTCTCTAACACTGAAAATAATATTTGTTAATATTACTTTAATATCGGCGATAAAGAGAGGAAGACAGCTTCTGCTTTGTTATGACTTTTGAAGCACTCTGTATTGAAATCTCTTAAATCAGGGCCTATTCTTTTTTGGAAATAAAATTCATGACATGGAATCTGAGACTGCACGAAAACTTTCCTTTTTTCTAACCCACAAAAATGTAATTTATGATCCAGTTAACGTGAATACATAATGATTAGTAAGCGTGTATAGGAGCTATATGAATGGGTAATAAGCGGTTTTAATCTCCTTTAGGTGGAAACGGAAGTTACGGGCCACTTGAAGCAGGGATCAACTAATAGCTCGAACCTGAAAGGGTAGCCCACGGGCACTGGCCTGATGTTTAGACTTAATACGTCCGAGAGTGGCAGTGGGAACGCTACAAGCAACGTTAACTCCCAAGGCACTCTCACCATCCTTTACTTATTGCGGACAGGAAATCGATATCTCGAACCCAGAAGAGGATGGCTAATGGATCATCTAAACCTGTTCTCCCTAAGTTACTATCACTCAGTAGTTCTTTACTGGCATTTATTACACTTTCCCCACACTCTGACCCAGTCCATTAACACGTGTGCACGACTTTACGCGGTTTCCGTACGGCGCGAGGAAAACCTGTTTTGTTTTGTTTTTAATTCCAAAAATGCAACAGGTCTTACAATGACACCACTGCGTTAGTTTATAAATATTCATTAAATTGCAACACAGCATTGAAATTAAGGTACATAAAGGCAAATCCGTGCTATATGCCCCACCCATCTAATTCTCAAATCAAGGATGATAAGACAGGAGAGATATACCGCGGAATATTTTATTTTATTTAGTGTTCTGTCTGACGACAGGTCCATATGAACAGGATCCTTCCATCCTTTTCTCGGACTGGGACCTGTTCATATACGTTCTTGGCAGATGATCCAGAAGTGGTTTGCCATTGCCTTCTTCTGTGTGTGAATGGGATGCCACGGAGAAACCGGGGAAGCACCCGGAGGAAAACTCAGTGTTGCCTAGACCACGGCCTTGCCCAACACAAGTTATAAATTCGGGCACCGCCGGGAATCGAACCCGAGACCCCAGGATTACAAGGCCAGCCTTCTAACCGCTAGACCACGCAAAATTTTAAATATTTACGTTATATTATTATTTATATGGTGCATTATAAACATTGCAGGGGTTAATTTCAAGTCAACAACAAATGCATGATACTTTACTTACTGCCAGTGTTGTACTTCTGGTCACGTCACGTGGTTTTGGACATCCCCACCGCCGTCAGAATCACATATCTCTCACTTCACTTGTCAAATGGAGTTATTTACTGTATATATTATCCTTAACGAGGCTAATAAACCTGTGAAAGAGGAACGCAAATGTAAATATCCCACAGAATGTCGATAATAAATCTGCGTCAATGACACCGTTTCTTGAATCCTACTTTGTAACACGTACTTCGTTCAAATATTTGAATGCGATACTGATTTCAAATTTGCACCGAAGAACAGGATAAATAGCAGTTAATGCAGTACATAAAACCCTACTAATCGTGAAGCACGAGTTCATCTCTGAAGATGAAAGCAGTAGTTTCATTCGAAAAACTGGTTATCTGTCTACGAGTCCTCACAGCGTCGCAGCCTAGAATAACATCGTCAGCTATGTACCTACGTATAACTAACTAACTAACTAGAAGGCTTACCGAACCCGAGGGTTCATCACCGAATTAACCAAAGCCCTCCACCGGACCCTGTCCTGGGCCAACAAAATCCAGTCTCCTTCAACTCCTATCTCCCATAGATCCCGCCTGACATTATCCTCCCATCTACGTCTAGGTCTCTCCAGCGGCCTCTTCACCTCAGGGTTCCCAAATAGTGGACCCAACCAACTAGATGGCTTACGGAACCCGAAGGTTCATCACCGAACCAACCAAAGCCCTCCACCTTGGGCCAACAAAATCCAGTCTCCTTCAACTCCTATCTCCCATAGATCCCGCCTGAGATTATCCTCCCATCTACGTCTAGGTCTCCCCAGCGGTCTCTTTTCCTCAGGCTTCCCAAATAGTGGACCCAACCAACCAGATGGCTTACGGAACTCGAAGGTTCATAATCGAATTAACCAAAGCCCTCCACCGGACCCTGTCCTTGGCCAACAAAATCCAGTCTCCTTCAACTCCTATCTCCCATAGATCCCGCCTGAGATTATCCTCCCATCTACGTCTAGGTCTCCCCAGAGGTCTCTTCCCCTCAGGCTTCCCAACCAATATCCGGTGTCCCATCCATGCGCGCTACATGCCCAGCCCATCTCATTCTTCTCGACTTAATCAACCTAACAATATTGGGAGAGGAGTACAGATTTTTAAGCTCATCACTGCTCAGGAAAATTACATTTTCGTGCTGTGAGTCAGTTTATTCCAGAAGCTTCTTAATTGCAAATCATGAAGCCAGTTTCCTTAAATACCTCGAGATATTTGAGTGAAATTGTCGAAAGTGACAGACCGGAATAAAACGCATGCAGAAACAACACCAGGTCAGGAGTCAAGACAGAATTTGGGAGTTTGCGTCGCTTTCCTAGTCGCCTCACGGTCTGGGAGCTGTGGTTACGTTCGGAGTGAGGTGTTTCCCCATTGTTACAGAAACTCGGTCCCAGCGGAAAACAGTGGTGAGATGAGAGAGGGAGGGAGGGAGGGAGAGAGAGACAAAGATAGCAACAGTGATAAATGAGGGGTTGGTGTCTGAGTCGTGGTTTCCAGTACATGAACCACGTGAATCTGCAAGCTCACAGCCACAAAATGGACCTGCCATGCATCTCAACCGGCTCCCACAGCCTACAGCTTCTTATTACGTTAGTCATTCATGATTTAATTACTTCACCGGCCGCATATTATTTAACGACAGCGAATCATGGTGAATGCTGTTATACAGAGTCGCTTAAACAAGTGACGGAGCAGTGCCTTCGGCTTCAACATCACAAGTTGAATTACTAACAGAATCCGAACAAGTAGCAACGCGTATCGCCACTCGACATTTATTTTATTTTAATTAGTGTTCTGTCTGATGACAGGTCCATATGAACAGGATCCTTCCATCCTTTTCTCGGACTGGGACCTGTTCATATACGTTCTTTGCAGATGATCCAGAAGTGGTTTGCCATTGCCTTCTTCTGTGTGTGAATGGAGTAATTGTTGGGATGCCACGGAGGAAAACTCCGTGTTGCCTAGACCACGGCCTCGCCCAACACAAGTTATAAATTCGGGCACCGCCGGGAATCGAACCCGAGACCCCAGGATCACAAGGCC